TATTTCTATCGAGTTATAGAAACACTCGTGAAAGTTTGGGAGAACTCGAAAAAGCTGTGGAAACACTCGCCTGCGGCTCGCGTTCCCACAGCATTTCTCGTTCTCCCGAACTTCCACTCGTGTTTTTATAACTCGATAGAAACACGGTACATGTTTTCTATTTCTTAAATAATGACTATTCTCGAATTTGATTGGTGATGATAAGCGACATCTGAGCATGTGTCGAGTTCAACTTATACCTGTGCTTATACAAAATTAAAGAACGAACTAGACTCCACCGCACATAAGAAATCTGATGCACTCTGACTCCACAGAGTTCATTTCCATTATTAAGGGTGGCGAATGCTCCTTCAAAAACCGTAAGTCTCGCAAAATTTTCGTCAAATTTCAGGGGTCTCCCAGTCTCGATTAAAAGACAGGTTTGTGAGCGTATTACAGCCTCGATTTTTCCAATATTCTCGGAGTCTCAAGTTTTTGCAAGACTAAGAAAGTCTCGAAGCCCGATTCCTTTGTTTGTTTTCATAACTGACGTCTGAACGTTTCGCACTCACAGTTTTAACACTTGGACGTCTTCGGTCTCGCAATTTAAAAAGTCACAAATGTCTCGGGCGTTCTCTATTTTCCTTTTCTTTTTCACTTTGATTTTTTTTTATTCCCGAAAAACTGAATTAACAAGCTGATGGTTTCATGAGCATAACGGTTTCGATATAGGTGTTAAACGGATACTATAAAATCACATAACGAATATCTAAAAGAGTTTTCAATATTTGATTCAAAATCTCACCGTAACTACGCCTATTAGCATCTACACATCTAGAAGTTTTATGTAACAATTTACCGCCAAATTGCCGGATAAACAGTCTACCCTTAACATTTGCTTGAGCAACAAACGAAATAATTTAGTATAAGCTAGGAACGATCGGACAAGAAATCAGGCTACCTGCGTTTTCTGCTTAACACTTGCACACTATGATCTACTTTGGTCCCAGTCCCCGGCATCTTTGTATTCCCTCCGTGATTATGTATATCTTCAAGAGTTCGGCCATTAATGTTATGATTCCTGCATTTCTCTGTTTTGACAAAAAAGAAGACGAAAGAAAAATGAAAAACAAGAAACTGGTCTGTTTCTTGTCACTTTCGTTATATATAAATGTTTACAAATATTTGTTTTAGCAGTTTGGTTTAATATAGCTCGCGTGGTTCGGCTTCTGGTTTTTAAAATAAAACGTTCTAAAAAGCCCCGTTTACAAGACGGTAAATTATGATATTCAACTCGCCGTTTTTAACGCCCTTGAGAGTTTATTAGACTTCCCTTGGTAAGAGTTCCCCGTTACCGACAAAATTAAAGCTATTTTTTAACCAGCCTTTTTTTGTTTTTCATATGCTGGTGGTCTATTTAATTCATCGAGCAAGCTTCCTTAATAATTTAATGAAAGCATATATAAATCTTTTGTGTACTAGTTCACTTTAATGCCTTAACTGTTTTGAAAACAGAAAAGAAAGCACAAATACAATTTCATACTATATAATGGCTTTCCTTGGACCAGTCACCTAGCCACAAAGAAACGGTGTTACGGAAAAAGACAACAAGGGTTCTTAATTAATATAACCCCTTCTCGCAGGTAAGTCGTTCATACATTTTGAAGAGCGCTTCTTTCAATTGCGGTTTTAGAGCGCATTGTAATTCATTGTCGAAGAAAACAATTTAATATTGTCTTAAGGGACCCTAGACAGCCTGTGCCATTTTCGATGCCATCGAAATTATCGATAATGCATGCAATATGAATCGAAGTCGTAGTGCTTTACTGTAAGTTGTGTTCCTGAAAGTATGTTTAATTTTCTTTACTGAGTAGTTTCACAATGATTTCCCTCGTTTCGACACGCTCCGAATAAAATAAAATAGCCAAGCTCTCGCATGTAAACAAAAACAAAAGTGTGGCTGACTATTTTCTCTTAATCTAGTATCAACAAATGAGCTTAGTTTTTCACAGTATATTACCTGAGTCGGCCTATAATGTATGATCGGTTGTGCTCAGTAATCTTACGTTCAAGAACTAGCAAGGTGTATTAAGAGAGAATCAAATTATGCCTGGCTCTCACAACTACAATTATCTTGATTAATGGTATTACTGTTAAATGTTCAGTCAGCCATAGGAGAAAACACGTAAATGAAGTCTTTCATGTCATTTCATATTTCATTTCAATACCAAACTCGATATAAGCAAGATAAAATAAAATTGCTTAAGGATTTAATATGTATCTGTTAATACTACTAATGAGGTATCAGAACATTACCTTATCGATTAATTGTTATATTGTCCACGCCTGTCTAATTAAGATTGTGTCGATATTGGTTGGGAGGTTTTGGACTTTGATCAGAGGGGTGATCTAGGGGTCAGGCTTATATTTTTGACGATGGGGCACGGGTGGGGAAGTTTGGGAAGTTTGAGAAAACAAAACAAAAAAAAAAAACAAACTGAAGTTTTGCATTTTCGTAAAAAAAAGTTTCAGGCAGCCATAGGAGATAAGAAATAACCTTTCATTAGTATTTATTGTTGTATTCTATTTTTCTTTCAGAAGTCTCACGCAACAAATTATATCTGAAATGTCATTTGGAAATACACGTCACTTGATTTTCATCTTAGTTTTGCTTGGAACTGTTTTTGCCTACATCATCATCTCAAACGTTTTTCAATTCACACAACCTGCGCCATACCTCAATGAGACTGGACGCCACAGTGCAATAGAAAAGAGAATTTCTGTATATGTTTTAATCCTCGCTCAACCAAGAACAGGTTCTTCATTTCTGGGACAGTTATTTAATCAGCACCCTGGTGTATTTTATCTGTACGAGCCACTCTATCCATTTTCTATGTTTCAAACGTTGAATTATGTCACGGAGAAAGGTCACGCAACCCTTGTGGCTTCGTTTCTTCGTAGTTTGTCACGCTGTAGTTTGAATGGCTACCAAGACTACTTTAGCTTCATCTCTCATTCTGGGCTTTCAAACCCACATTTTCGTTTATCGAGCAAATCGTTGTCGTCCCCACCCCTCTGCAAATCTGAAGCTACGACGTTTGACAATCAATCCGAGATTCTCAAGAAATGCCCTCCCTTAAATGCTAAAACTGTTTCGCTTGTCTGCGCGTCGAAGAGGTTTATTGCGACGAAAATTTTGACACCTCGGTTGCCCGAAGAGATTTTGAAAGAACTTTCTGAGCAATTTCATTCCCAGGCTAAAACTCAGATTAAAAGTATCCAATTAGTGCGCGATCCACGAGCAATGGTTTGGTCAATGATTAAAATGGGTTTGATAGAAAGAGGTATTAAAAAGAACAACACGAGGACAGAATACAGCAATAAAAAACAAGATTCTTCTTCCCAGCCGCTTGGAGGTAGAAACTCGGCTACACTTAATCACAATTTTATCAAGCAAGTTAAACTTCTCTGCAACAGAATGACCAAAGATGTAAATATCTCGTTGCTCTTGTCATCAAAACTTAACTCTTACCAGAACAGAATTGTTCGTTATGAGGAATTAGCAAGTAACAATCTTACGCTCGCAGGCAAAATCTTTGAATTCACAGGAATTGATTTTGCTTTAGAGGTAAAAGAATGGCTTGGAAGGAATAGTTTGTTTGACAAGGACGAAAGTAGCGCCGGTGAACGAAGCTATTCTACCAGCAACAGAAACATCACTGTTACAATAAACTCTTGGAGGAAGAGTCTGTCATTTCTCGAGACTTTTGTTATTGATAAGGAGTGTGCTTACTTTATGCAAAATTTCGGTTACAAATTTATTGACAACGTAGATGTTCTTACAAACATATCAATTAGCCTCCTGCAACCTTTAAGAAACAGTTTTTACACTGTGTAAAAACTGGGCCTTTTTATAAATACAGTAAGTCACTGGATAAAGTTGTTACTGTAAAACCCCACATTACGGCCACCCCGTTAGGGCCACTTTCTTTTGGCCCGAACAAAAGCCAAGTCAGCCATTTTTAATGCGGCCTCCTCGTTAATACGGCCCGTTGGTGATCAGATTAACGAGGTTCCACTGTACTAATTATACGTTCATTTACTGATAATCGAGTACAATAAACGTCACAGGTCAGTTGTTCATCGGTAAGGTGACTGGCGGGATTAGGGGCGTGGTAGGTAGCGTTGGCTGGAGAGATGAAATCCTTTTCGCTGGACCAAGTGAACACAGTGTCCGTAATGTACTGGAGGTGTCCAACTGGTTTTGGCTTAGACATGTTAGGTTTTGTTCAAGTGAAAAGATAAAATACTCTGACAATCAAATGAAGTTTCAGTATTGAGCTAAATTCAATATGGCCAGCGAAACCATTTTGAAAGAGTCCTTTCTTGAAACTTTGAAAAATCTCTGACGACTCTTCAGTAAGAATAATAATTTCTGCACGTAGACGTAATCTATTTTCTTTTTGAAATTGTGAAACAAAAGAAATTAAGAAGAAATATAGCTAGAACTCTGGACATGCTCGAAGGGAGGGGCGGTGACCTGATCAGGTTAGTGTGTTCGATTCCAGTAGGGAGCTTAGGAAAACCACGATGCAACGGCAATGGCTGTGCCCGTGCATAATAATTCTTGGTACATTTCTTTGCCGTCCTCTGCAAAGTAACAACGTGAAATGACCAAATTTTACATTGTCTGGAGAACGTAAACCACGACTCCTAACTTTGAAAATTTTCATTTCGAATTTATCGATGTGCCCTAGATTCAGTTTCGTGATAGCTTTGAGAGTGATCTACAATGAATGAATGACTTTATTTAAGTGTAACAAACTAAATGACTTTAGGGTACCGCGAGATTCGTAGGTAAAATATGACATCATTTTTTAATCGATGTTGTCCTCGGCGTCGCCGTCGTGATTTCTTAAGTTCCCTTTGTGTTATGTTCGCAGGTAAGACACTACTCTCACAGTGCCTCTCTTCACCCAGGTGTATAAATGGGTACCGGTCAATTTAATGCTGGAGGGGGCGGGGGGGGGGGTAACCCAGCAAAACAGTCAGTAGGTTTCCATTTCCTCGACTTTCTAAGATAAATTTTCGTGTTACTTCAAAACAATTTTCCTCAATTTATAGTTTTCTCTTCATCTCCCCTTTTATTTCTTCGGGTCTTCATATCAGGAATAAACTTTTCCCTGATTCAAGAAAGCTAAGTTCTTGTTTCTCGCGCGCTTCCGGTCTTAAAAAATTACCAGGGCATTTCTCAGATGAGGTGTATATCCCCACCCCCACCCCGGGAGTGTATACTGTTTAACACACGCTGAAAACACCGAGGTAAACTTGAGTAAAAATTACGAAAGATCAGGCAAAAACAAATAAGCCATTACAAACTTTATTCGTAAATTGCTGGAACAATGTACAACTATAAAAAAAAAATGCCTCAATAAAAATACAACATCCTTAGTTACAATGAAATTTCATTCGAAACCAGAGTTGCTACCGACGGTTTTTAGGATTTGTTCAGTTTTCAGACTGAGAACAACGCAGAACTTGAATGATTCCTAGCACAAAAACTGAGAAATAATTCAGGTACTTTCGAACAGTAGTAAATGCGTGAGACCTTAGGATACTACACCTAATTTCGTTTCATGGAAAAACTTTCACCTACAGCAAATAAATGAGCTATAAAAAACAACAGCAAAAACGGACAAGAAACTGTTTCACTGACAAAAATTTAAAAAAAGACCAAAGAAACTGAGGAGGTTTGGAGGCAAACAGCTGACTGAGAGTGGTAAAAGCGAGGTTCAACTTGAAGTCTATAACTAAGATAGGGAAAAACACACGGTGAAGATAGAACATGTTGTAATTCCGGAGAAATCTTAAACCAGTCATGTAGCATAAAACAAAAGAAATTGTTTAGCTCGAGGGTGTAGAAGCGGATGAAAGCTGAATAACAGAAAATCTACGGTGGGAATTTTTCGCTCTCATAAGATTTTAACCTCCTCAAACTTTTATGACAAATTGATGAGACTTATTACTCGCTTGGAGCACTGATGAACTCAATTCTCGCATACTCTCGGCTCCAAGCCGTTTGAGAATGTGTATATATATTGGCGATAGTCACGGAAGCTATTGACAATTCTCGTCGACCATCTGTAACATCTGAACCCTTTTCGAGTCTAGTTTTCATTTAATTCAGCCTCGAGCAACAATTGAAAACTGGTATAGGCTAACGTTTTACTGACGAATCTGTCAGTTGTCAACTTTAACATTCCTAAACACAGCTAGGGAACGATAAAACTCGACAGCCAACTCATACGTTTGGGATAGTTAAGACTTGACTCTATTATCCAAACCTCCTTTTAACATTGAAGAGCAAGAAAATTAGCTTCCGAATACTCCTTAGTGTCCTTTATTAGATCGATCTAATACAGGAAACGTAAGATGGCAAGAAAAGCAACAGACAGACAGACGGAAACGCCTCCAGACAAACTGTGGGCCGCAGACTCTGTATACTTCACGAATGAGATCTTGGCAAATTCTTTTATGGGGTTGGACCCCATCAGCTCCGTGTCGCTGTCTTTAGTGATCTGTTTGACGACGTCCTTAGGCATGGTCTCCACGTTATCTGCTGCGAACGTTGTTCCACTATCTGTCCCAGCATCCCACGCGGGCAACGGCTTGGCCGGTACGCTATCCTTCCATTCACCATCGTCTCCACAGAGTTCGACACTGTCGACTCCAACGAACCAATCAGGGGAGGGTGCAATCATAGCGATGACAGAGACCTTGGAGTACATGCCTTTAGCTGTGATGATCATGGTTCTGGTGGCGGTGGGTTCAGTTTTGTCATCGGCTTTGAACACGCTGTACACGTACCCACCCTTATCCTTCACTGTCGTGAGATCGTTGTACAGCGTAGCTTCGGTGCCTGATTGAAACCATGCAAAACTTAGGTCAGTTTACTGCAGCTAGCTAGGGTGATTTTTTCTCTCTCACGGTGTCTCAAAATCGTTTCGAAAATCTCTTTACTAATTGGCCTATTCTCAGTTAATGGCAACGGCAACAGCCTGATTTCACTAGCGACGCAAGCACAAGCGCAAACACAATAATTCTTATTTCACCGTGAAAACGGCCTTGACGCAGGCATAAGCACAAGCGCAAGCGCAAGGATCAAAATTATTCCTTTCTCTTGTGCTTACGCTTATGCTTGCGTTTGCGCTGCAACAAGTAAAATCGAAATACTGCTCAGGCAAAACACAAGCACAAGGATATTTACCACACCTGGTTATGTCTGGCCAGGGAAAACAATGGATCCTGATTACCTTACGCCTTAACAGTTTGGAAGGTTCAAATTGTTTTGCCTGTGCTTGTGTTTGCGTGGCATTTGTTTTTCACTTGGGTCATCCCTATTGCTTGCGTTTGTGCTTGCGCTTGATCTTGCGTCGCTAGTGAAAACCAGGCTTAAGAAAAAGTTTACAAAGTTACGGAAAATAAGAGACAGAGAATCTTTTTAACACATTAAACACAATGATTGCTTTCGTTATCTGTGTTGTTTGGTTTTGTTGTGTTTCTTATTTTGTTCTTTTTAGTTTGTTTTTAAAGAAAACTGAATTTCTGATCCGTGTACTGTCAAACCCTCAATAAACTGACCAGCTAAACACAGAACCGCTAAAGACATATAAAAGAGATACCAGGATTAGAAAAACAGCCCTAATTCATTTTAAAAAGTATGCTAGTCATGTTAAAAGAAGTCATCAAAGGTCGTAACTTACCAGCTTCTGCGACTTCCTTAACCCCTTGGGACGCCATGGTCATTGGGCTCCAGAACTTGTAGTTGTACTTATGAGTGCAGCCAATCAGTTTGGAAAAGTGAGCACCTGCTGGGAAAGTCGTGACAGGTTGTCTTTCATTGCTCCACATTCCTTCAAACTTGAGCTGGTACTTCTGTTCCCCACTACATGTGTAAACGGCGGGCTTCTCCACCCTCTTGAACATCAGCCTACCCAGAGGGGCGATGGCATTTGCACCCATAAACGGAGTGCCGGCCGTGTCCTTAGTAATGAGTGTGATCTTTTCACGTGGACTAGTATCCGGGTTGGTGGTGTTAAACATAGTGCCGTTTTCGGTACCTGCATCCCACGGTGGCAATGAAGTAATGTTCCAAGTGTCTCGCCACATTCCAGCATTACAGAGATTGACGCCTTTGATTCCCACGAACCAGTCGGGTGAGGGAGCAAGCATGGAAATAAGAGATACCATAGGATAATCTGCAGTGACTTCGACCTCTATCCCTGTCTTATGTGCACCACTACCATCTGTTGGTCCGTCTGTTTGCTTGATCAGCTTCCAAGCAGTCTTGTTGTACATGATCTGCATGTTAATTTCCTTCTCCAGTTCGGTTGAGTTACCTAACGAAACACAAGCGAGAGCAAAATTCACTTCAAACAAGCAAAAGTGTACCGTTTAACGGGAAAAAAAAAATTAAATTCAAGCGCAAAAGAGAACAAATAAGTCTTAAGAAACAAGCAAAACGTCGGAGAATGTAAAAATATTAACACAGTCTTTAATACAAGGCTAAACAACTTTCTCGAGTTGAGGAACAAAATATAGCTCTTCTTGATAAATCAACCTAATTTTTCCATTATTCGGCGTCCTGAATCCTTTTCTTGTTCTTTTCACCTGTCTATGCCAAAGTAATCTTTTGTTTTAACGTTTCCATCAACGTTAACGGTAACTTTACACATCACTAAGCACTTAATATGACTGGCCCCAAGAGAAACAATGAGTTTTGTTTCCCGGAGAACCCTAGTGTTCGCCTTATACTTCCCGCCTCCAAAATAAAACAAATTGCGAAAACATTATTTGCTTGACGGTGGTTGGCACACGAATTTGCCGCGCTCTCCAGGTGCACGGCCTGATCACATGCAAGTCGAGAAGTCAAGTTATTGTTTTCCCAGGGAGTTTGCGAGTTTTGTTCGCCCCAAGGGGTTGGTGAGTTTTGATGCATGACAAGTGACATGTTCTCCTCCAATTGGACAACGTATTTTGATTTAAGAGATATACAAAAATAAGCTTTTTTCTTGACATGCCAGAAGTTCCTTTAAAAAGATATACATCATTGGCTGTAAGCAACGTCATCGATGTGATTGACAGAATAAACGACTGTTAGAGGAGCAACATCACACTTTGCGCATCTTGAGAATTTTAGCCTAAACGTTTTTACGTTCGTCATTTCCATTGCGTTTTAATCTTCATCCTTAACCATCCTTGTTTCTGTAAGCTTTATTACTATCTCTCTAGTGTTTTTCTATCTCGGTAAACAATTATTTTCAGGTTTCCTATCATTTAAAGGTAATTTTTTACGTGGCCAAAATAACTCAAAATACCGTGACTGAGTTCCTTTAAGGTTTTATCTTGTGCACTTATTAGCGTACCGCGCGCACAATGTGAACCGTTGCTTATTTAACCATGCTAAACCGACCAAGGCCGAAGTTTTTTGGTCGAAACGTCCTTCTGTTTTTAACGTTATAAAAAGTTAGCGTTAAAACCTCTGACATTTTACTGAGTTTCAAAACACTTTTACTGAAAAATTATTTGTGGCTAGTGATGACAACGCCAATTCAGAAAATATTCGTATGAACGGAAACATTTCGAATCTGGAGACAGGAATTAGCTATGAATTCATTCGCTTTAGAAATGCTGGATAAAAGATTTAAAGCTAAAAAATTAAGGACTACATGAAGGGCGAATGACGGCTGTATACGAAGGTAACTGGGCGACACTGTAGACAAATAAAACGACAGTGAAGACCATAAAAACGAATCATGTGTCTACAAAACACACAGCTTGTTAAAACCCGCCATTTTTACTTCGAGTAAGAGAAGAAATCAACAGTTACAATTAGCTCCCAACGAGTTTTGTTCTAACTGAGTTGATTAAACGACTAGAGTTGAATGAACTCAAAGGTGTCTCAATGAGATTAACTCACCGCTCTCAGCCACATCTTCCACTCCTTTAGAAGCCTCCATCCCCTCGTCCCACATGACATAGTACATGTTGTGAGAGGCGCCAACCCAAGGAGAAAATTTGCCCATGTCAGGGAAAGCATTAGGATGAGTGTCGTTGCTCCACATCGACCAAAACGAGATTTCGTACTTGGCTATTCCAGGGCATTTCATATCAGAATATACTCCTGAGAAAAAGCCAAGAAATGCCACAAGGAAAATGCCGTTGCGACTAATCATTTTCATCTGATTTTAGTCGATGCAGACGAAGAAAAATGGACAAAATGGTACTGTTTAGTTACGGACCTCTTTACTCCTCGAAACGAGCTAGGTTGTGCCAGAGACTCTAAGCTCCACACCTTAACTTCAATCATTAAACAAATATATTGGCCTTGTTTTGCTTCACAATGGCTGTGTACGTCACTGACGTGTTTTATCATGTACTTAATGTAAATTCCAAGCAACATCAAAGATAGATAGTTTGAAACATATTTACAATTTTCAATCGAGAAAAAAGTATCGGCAAACGGGCTGTCAACAACCGTAGAACAGGTTTTTAAGGACAGACTTTCTGGTTTTCTTTTCGTTTCGGAGAAACTTTTCTTCATCAGGTATGCTGAACTAATATCAGAAATGTCAGTTATTGCTTTAACAGTAGAACTGAACAATGGAAACCAATTTTCCTCAACAAAAATAAGCCCTGAGGCAAACATGACAAGGCATTTACTAAGACTAATTTACATTTTGTTACAAACAACGACGACCATTAACTGAAGCTGTAGGCTAAGATGCAAGTACGAGAAGAGTCAGAACCTTTTCCCTTCTATTACTCATAAAAGTTTTAAAAATCTTCACTTTTTTTTTGAAAGTTTTACAACGAAGAGGACCGAGAACAAAACTTTGCCATTTTTTCCCGTTTGCATATCTGCATAATTACCAGCTGGCACTGTATAACAACGTTAGGTGTCCTTAACTGACCCACTTTTCTCAGTTGACGTGTTCATAGTTACCAGCATGACGATATGAGTGTTTACTGTAAACACAATAGTCAAAGGGAACAAAAGATTCATTTTCGCTGAGTTATAACCTGTAATTGCTACGGTATTTTCATCTGAACATACTAGCTGTGATCCTGATCACAGACAGAGAATACTGGAGTTGTCAACCGCAAATGTTCTAAAATATGAACCATAAAGGGATTATATTTTAGAAGTAAATAACTAAGCTAGTCAAGTTTATAGGACACAACCCACTGGCCGAAAAACAAGACCGCAGAGTTACAGATTTTCGAGTTAGGCAGGCTGGCAGACTTATATGCTTTTATCCTCGTCAGTCTGATAACGGTTTCCATAAGGAAGATTGCCGTAAGGAAAGAGTCACTTTTGTCAAGTATATTTACTCGTTAAATAACAACTCGTATTGGACTTGTTTGGAGCTCTTAAGTCATATACAGCTTAAATGAGGTCATTAGCATGATTTATCGACCATTTACCGCGATATCAAGTCATTATATATGCTGCGATGCCGAGATGGAGCCGGCATGTGTGTATTTTGAGCTTTTTTCTATGTTCACGGCTAATTTGTATGTTCACGGCTAATTTAACTTCTCCCTCTTCTCCCTCTAACCCTTATTTTAAGTTTTCGTCCCTTTAGAAGCTTCCGATCAGATTATAACTCAAACATGAATAAATGATTCATCAGTGTATTGAAACCATGAATCTCATTCGGTCTACATTAGTTTATTCTATCTGTTAAACCACGACCGCGGAAGAATAGTCTTGGAAAATCGTTGTTATGTGATCCCAACCGCTTCAAAGCTTCCTGTAACGTTGTGAATTACAATTCTGGCATCATAGGTGAGCTTTAATGTATCAAAAACTCGGCCTCCCGGTTTATTGAGAATACGTTAAGATTTAATGAAAAACAGCAAATAATCAGCCGCATTTTACATTGGGAACAAAATGAGTAAATAAAGTATAAAGTCGGGCGAGGTATGAGGGCACGAGCGAAAATGTGGTTCGCTGGTAAAGGTTTGAACCACGATGGATTCTTACGTAACCACTACACTACACTTCAATGCACTGCACTGCGCTACAAGAAAACCTATATAGAAAATATTTAATGTCCGCTTACGGGCTCACCAGCTTTTTTAATGTTCATCTCAGTTCTAAATTACATATTAGCTATTATTTCGTTTTTTTTTTTTTTTTTTTTTTGTGAAGAGCAGGTTTTAATGAAGTTGCCGTAATAAGTCATTTTTGTGTGCATTTTTGCTGACACCTACACGCTCGTGAGACTAAAGTAAACGTCCTTGAAAAATCACTTTTAAGCTGCAGTGGATCGCAATGTTGTTGCGCAGTACGATTTCTGAATCTATTTTACTCTAGCCGGCTGACCGATTCGATTTCCTCCTCCTGCTTTCAATCATTCCCCCCCTTCCCCGCAGTACGGCAGCCCAGAAGGGTCACCAACCATTTTTGTTTTTGTTTTTTTTTTTTAAATTTTTGTGTTTTTTTTGTTTTTGTTTTTGTTTTTGTTTTTTATTTTGTTTTTGTAATTTCTGTTTTAGTTTTCGTTTTGCCTTTCGTTTTAATTTTGGCTTCTGTTTTGCGTTTTTTGCGTTCAAATAGGAAACAAAAACAAAAACATTAAACGAAAGCAAAAACGAAAACGAAAACGGAAACGGCCGAAACAAAATCGACGAGTGTAGACCATCATGCTTCATTTGCAGTTGGGAACTTTACAATCAATGACGTGAAAGTAGTAAGTACGGGACGTTTACCA